TTCTTTCTAGCCACTCTTCCATTGTAGCCGCTATTTTTTAAGGCTCTGCGGATCGTTTGAGGATGCACGTTTTTTCCAGTCTCGTTTAACAGCTCTGATGCTAATTTTGGGGCACTGAGCTCAGGGTCCTTCTTTATTTTTCTTAGCAATTTTCTCTCATCGCGAACGTCTAGTTTCTTCGGTTGGCCTTTTTGGGGTATAAAATCTATACGATCCTCGCATTTGAACCGCTTGACTATATCTCCCACTGTACTCTTGCTTATGTTTAGCAGAGCAGCAATTTCTCTGTACGATTTTCCTTTGGCATTATGATATATTACAAATTGCCGTATATCGAAACTCGTGTTCGCTTTGCGAGGCATTGTACAAGTGTACTGCACGATGATCGGCAAATAACTACTAAAATAAGGCTTAAACTAGAACGCTTGTCTAGATTTGTAAATAAACATTGTCCTCTAATTTGGCGTAACTCGGCTTGAACATTGGAAAAAGCGCTACATTGTAAAGTGTCCGAATATTAAAGTAACGTGAAAATCGGACAATGTTTTATTTAAACCGTATTATTGAACAACCATTGTAAGTTATGTAAACAAAATTTACGCAATTGTTTATTAAGCGTATACGTCATCATAATCCTTAATCATTTCTTTTTATTTTTTGGTTATAAATTAAGTTATAACGTAATATAGTAAAAATCTCATAGTGTCCGAATATTAAAGTAACGTGAAAATCGGACAATGTTTTATTTAAACCGTATTATTGAACAACCATTGTAAGTTATGTAAACAAAATTTACGCAATTGTTTATTAAGCGTATACGTCATCATAATCCTTAATCATTTCTTTTTATTTTTTGGTTATAAATTAAGTTATAACGTAATATAGTAAAAATCTCATAGTGTCCGAATATTAAAGTTATTCACTGTACGTCGACGTCAATCGAAACTAGAAAGTTCACGCCTTTAACGATTCTTGCCTTTTCACACTTTTCAGGGCAGTTTGGACATTCATGTCCGACGTTTCTACATCGATGACATTTGAAGTTGAATTTTGATTTATCAAATCAAATCCCATCTTGGTGGCGTTTTTTGTTTTTCCAAATTCTTCCAGGATTTTCGTGCGTACATTGCACTTACGTCGTCTTCTTTCCATTTTTGTTTCCTCCCGTTCTATTTTTCTAGTGGTTTGATCTTTAGAGACCCGGGATCGGGGAGTTTATCTTGTGCCTCTTTACCGCATCGATATTATCATAGCTATTAGGTAGGCTCTGTAAAAGTATGATAGATTGTAGCTCATCATCAACGTCGAAAGATTCGATATCGAAAAATTCATCGCTGTTCGCGGATATCTCCGTCGGCTTCTAATCTGAGCATCGTAACGCCAGGTTTCATCGAAATATATCAAGTACTATAGATTTCAAAATAAACGGGAATGTGGTAAAATAAACTCTTTTATTATCTCTCGTTTTCTGCGGTCGTGTTTCGGAAAGGATTCTTTTTGGGATTGCGTGATTCTCTTTGTTTTGCAATTTTCATGAGAAGATTCAAGGGTCACTTGCTGTCTTTACGACACTTCATCTCTATTCAATCCTGTTTTCCTCTCAGCTGTTTCTTGTACATGGCAATCAGAGTGTCGTATATTTTATATTGTTGTATTTTATTTAACTATTATACATTCGGTCCAACATAATTCCTATTAGATGTGAAAGACTGAATAGTATCTGACAAAAGTACAAATGGACAATAGTAGTCAATAATATCGTTGGATATTAGTAAAAAAATCATAAAACATTATAATGCACAATTTATTTCCCACAATCCATTTTGATAAAGGATTACATGGTTATATAAAATATTTTAATCTTGTGCATCTTCTTGTCCATCATATAGTATAACTCCTCGTGAAGTCTTTTTCTGAAAGGAAATACAACAATTACAGCAGATTAGTAACATTCATAATATAGTCATGAGAATCATTAGCCTATGTTAAGAAGCAATTTCTTATGTTGGCACCACTCGTAGATGTCTACGTGTAGGATGACGTCCGTTTAATTTTCTCCCTTCCTCTATGGGTGTACCAAAAAACAAATGGTTCCTTTAATTTATAGAGCATTTGGATGCCTAAATTGGACCTTTGGCCGACTAAATGTAATCTTAAGTACTTACAGAATGGAGTATTGCCCTAGAAGCCTTAAGAAGTGGATAACGG